TTAAATTTAAATAAATAAAATTAGTGTTTTTTAATAAATTTTAATTTTTTTTATTAATTGTATATTTATAAATTTAAGTAAATACAATGGACAACAATGGACACTGATATTATATATCCATTGCTTAATCAATGAACAATGGACAGCATTTTTTGTCCAGTGTTGTCCATTATCTATTGTCCAGTCATGACAACACTATTTTAGATGACATCTAATCAAGTAGAAAACTAGATCCAGTATTCTGATTGTATTTTTAACAATATAATACATAAAACTAATCGATATAGAATAACATTATTATTATTTATTATATTTGACAATAATTACTGTAATATTTTACTTTATAAGCTCTCTTATCAGATGAAAGTTTTGAATTATATAAATGGATGCTTAATCAAATTATAAAATCAACTGGTATTTATCCTGCTATAATAATTACAGATACTGATCCTGCTGTTGATGCAACTATTTAGCAAATTTTTTAATTAATATATCCTATTCATTACGTCTAAAAATCTACACAAGAATCTCAGGAAAGACTTAAATAATGATTATCAAAAATTTCTTGAGAAATTCTATAGGTACTATAATAGTTTTGCTAAAAATGTCTTCTAAAAACAATTTGATAAGCTTATTCAAGATTATTCAAATATACAAACATATCTTGAGTTTTTTTATAAGTCAAAAATATATTGGGTGTATTATTTCACTAGTTTTAAATTTACAGGAGGTATGATTATCAGCTTATGTATTGAGTCTGTAAATACATGTTTAAAATATTTGTTATATATTTAAATATTTTTTTATGTGATCTTGCTAAAGAAATTCAAAGACTATTTGATATTCAAGATAAAAAAAAATGAATATAGATTTTGGCAACTAGTAATTCTATCTATAAAAAATCTGAAAAAAAACAAATTTTTTGTTTATTAAAGTAGATCAATGTCTTTAAGAATTTCTTACTCCTTTAATGTTAAAAATGCATCATGATGAAATTGACCAATCTTTATATTATACAGTAATATTATTTGAAAATGCTGAATTTGTAGATAAGGATTTAATTATACCATTTGATGAAATATTAGCTATTGATATTCTGCAGACTACATTAAGTCAAATGATTAAATTTGTTAAAGCATATAATATCAAAGAAATATGGACAGTTAGCATTAGAAATTCATTAAAAGCTAAATATTATGTCCTTTTATTACAAAATCATAGATATATATATTTATGTCTTTCAATTATACAATGTAGATTAATTTACAAGCATTTTTTTCAGGTGATACTAGTTACAAATATTGTATTATTTCATATTAGACTTATTCTAATGCGATAATATTGTATAGGAAAAAAAGATTTAGAAGCATTATTTTTAATAGCAGATAAATTTATATAAGAAAAGTAAAGTATCATATATAATTTACAAAATTCAGTATTATACTTATGCTTTTTCAATCAAGACAATAAAGACTTTTGTAAAGAAAGGTTAACAATTTTTAAACAAAGGATTATTTACGAAAAATTATATAAAACATATAAGAAAGCTCTTTCAAAGGCTTTGCAAATAAATTTTTAATCATATTAACTAATTAATTTACTTTAAGAGTTTATTGATAATGAAAATAATGATAAGTATTCAGATTTAGAAGATGAATTTCAAGAAGATGATAATATTAGTGATAAGAAAAATGAACCTTTAGTATTATTATTGCAAAATCTAGAGTAATATCATAGTAAAGTCAACCACTTAGTATCAAAAGGTTTAAATTAGCTCATAAAGCTTCTAAAACAAAAAATCAATGCTGATGCAAAAAAATGTGAAAATGTCAATCACTATTAAAAAAAACTGTAAGGTATTATCAAATGTTATATAAGTTATACTTTTTTTTTAGTTTTATATATAGTAAATCTATATATGTATATTAATTGTTACTTATTTCTTTTTATTGGCAATTAGGCTTAAGATATTTATGTAAATTATAAATACAATATGATATAGTTATAAAATTTGTATTACAATTACTATAATCAAATAAATAAATAAATAAAAATTGGTCATGTGACATATAAATTTAGGAACTAACAATTTTCTGCTATTGCAATAAATTACAAAACTCTTAAATTTAAATCTGAAAATCAAAAAATAAAATATTTTAGTTTAAAAAAATCTAAAAATATTTTTTTTGTTAAAGTTTTAAATATGTTTAAATTAAATATGTATATTTTTTATTAAAAAATCCTTTCTAATTCTAAAAATAACTTTTTTATATACAATATGTGATACTTAAAGATTTCAATAAATTTGATAATTTTTAAAAAGTAATAAAAAATAATATAAAATAATATCAAAAAAAGAAAGCTACAGTTTTAATACCAAATTAATTATTAGCCTTCTTTTTTAAAATAATTACTTATTCTTAACTTATATCGATTTAAAAATGCCTCTTTTTTATATAATCAGTATTTAATGAGATAAGCATGTAATTTAAAATTGGCCAATTAGATCACTCTTAAATTACATGTGCATACTATTGGATAAAAAAATAAATATAATTAGATGTTTAGAATAGAAAAATATTTATCTGTTATTAAAAATGCTACAGATAAAAAAATTTTATCTGACTTCAAGAATACAATAAGAGAAGATAATTTTCTTTTATTAAAAAGGAAGAAACTAAGACTAGTAAAAGGAATACAGTATCTATTGAGAGTGAAGGTAAAGAAATTAAGAAGAAAAAAGTAATTATAAATACGTTCACTTGTAGCAGAACTCATATAGAATGAATCTAAAATAAATAAAAAAATAATAAAAAAAATATTAAAAACTACCTATTACCGTAAGTTTAGTATTTTTGATGTACTTACCAATGCTTTTAAAGAAATATCTAAGATTACTAGTTTATAGGATAATAATATGTCTATTAATAATTTCTCTATATTATTCAAATTTTTAGCATCTTCAAATAGATGTATCAGTAGATTTGCTAGTAGTTTTTTAGCTTTATCTCTATCGCTATCTTCACCTTTATCTTCTTTTTCATCTTTACCTTTATTTTTTTTCTATCACCTTCTCTATTATCTTCTTTATCATCTTTCTCATTACCTTCATTACTTTTTTTCATCATTGGCATCATTTTCATCATCTAGATCTTTGTTAAAAATAAAGGAAAATTTAATACTTTGTAAAAGAATTATATAACTTTAAGATGATCTTCTTAAGAATAAAAAAATATATATATCTTTAAATATAACAGATAGTGTATCATCTATGAATATCTTATATAGCTAAATAATGACTGTAGAAAAATAAAAGCTAATGAGAAAGCAACGCATATTTTTTATATTATTTCAAAGCTATATACCACTAAATAAATTCATTCTTTGACCAAATTTTACTTGAATCATCATACTGTGATAAATATTAAAAATATAATTAATTTATTAATGATAAAGATATTGTATTAAGCTTATAACAATATACTGGCCTACAATAAATATTTAGATTTTTATTATATGAATTTGCATTTCTGTGTTATGATTACTGATTTTTCCTTATCGCATATATAAATAAAAAATGACAAAAATATTATATTTTTCTAATTTTTAATGTATAAAAATAAAGTTTTAAATGATAACCAAGAACGAATAATCAGTGTATTTCTTACTGGTACTAAGCAAATAATCATTTTTACACAACTTAATATATTAACTAGTACTATAAGTGATATTATAAAAAATATAAAAAAAACTGGTTTTGCAAAACCTGAATAATATCTTGAAAGACCTAAAATACTCAAAGAATGTAATACCTGAGCTTTGAAACATATATTATGAACTGACTGATTTTCTCCTCTTAGTTATGTGACAGACGAGTTTAATACTAACCTTAATATAACTTTACACTATAATACAGTTAGAAGTTACCTTTATGATGAAGGTTTTAGAAGTTATATAGTAAGAAAAAGTCTTATTTTATCAATAACTATTAAACTAACTGCTTGAAATAGTGTAAAGGAAAAAAAATTGATTAGAAAAATAGAACAAGTAATATGATCAGATGAATAAAGGTTTTCTCTTTTTCAATCAGATAGTTGAGTAAGAGTATAAAGAAGTTCTAGAGAAGCATATATATAATAAAGATTGTATTTAACTTACACTAAAGTTTGAAGGGGGATCAGTGATGTTTTAGAAGTGTTTTGGCTGGTATAGGATTGAACTGTTAGTTATAGTGAAAGAAAACATAGTTTCTAATAATACATTAATATTCTGGTAAATTATTTCATCTTATGGGTTAATAATTATTCCAACTCTATTTTTCAGCAAGATGAAGCATTATATCATAATTCAACTTACAGTATTTGGTGAATAAAAACATATAGCATTTCAATTTTAAATTAGATACCATAAAACTTTAATCTTAATCTAATAGAAAATTTGTAAAACTATTTGGATAATTAGGTTTAAAAAAGAAAGCTTATACTTAAATCTAAATAGAAATTAATTAAAGTAGTATAAGATGAGTGGTAAAAAATCACAATTAAAACATGTCATTGCCTAATTTTAAGTATGCATAATCAGGTTAAAGCAGTAATTAAGGCTAAAGGTAATCATATTAAATATTAATTTTTTTTGTTATAATATTATTACTATAATTACTTTATATTTTATATTTTAATATAATAAAATTTATTTGACAATTAAGAAGTATAAAAAAATTTTTTATAAATATCATAAAATTATGAATTTTACATATAAATTTTATAAATAAAAAAAATTTAAATATTTATTGTAGGCCAATCTAGTTACAATAAGAATCAGATTTAAATAGCATTAACGTAGTTTATTTTAAACAATATATTAAAGATTTTATTTTACCTTAATGTGTAGGAATCCAGAAAATAATTAGTATAATAACTGTCAAAAGATAGTTGTATGTTTTAAGATATCAATTTAAAGGATATTGAAAAGGTATTTATTTTGATAGATATGAATAAGAAGATATTATTATATATCAAAAAGAATTTTTAAAAGCAATAAAAGGATTTGAATAATGAATGGTAAGATATGAAGAAGAAGAAATAGAAATGATTTTATTAATACTCAAATCAGGATAATAAGAGCTAATTCTTATTATTCATAATGAAAGTATCTTTTATGCAAATAATAGAAAAAAATAATTTAGGTAGCTGATAATGAAATATTATTGCGAAAGAAAGGAAATGAAAAATTGATTATGGTGAGTAAGTTTCTTTCAAAGGCTTATAATTGATTGATACTTAGTAAAGAAGAAATAGCAAGGAATTTGAATATTTCTATAGAAGCTTATTGTTATCTTTTACCTGATAAGAATCAGAAAGGTTATTAGACCTTTGAGCATTTGTTAGAGCAGATTAAATCCAAGGCAATTTTCATTTTTGAGATGAAATTTTCTAATGTAACAGTTATTTTTGCCTTTGACAATAGTATGAACTATGTAATATATGCTAAAAATATTTTTGTTGCAGTAAGAATGAATTTGAGTCTTAAAGAAAAACAACTGATTATGAAATCAACATCTTTTTATTGATAAAAATAGACAAGAAATAACTTAACAAATGATATTTTTAGAAGATTATTTTAATTCTTTCTTGCGAGAAAAATCAAAAGGAATAAAAAAAGTATTATAAGAAAAAGGTCTATAAAGAGAAGGATTATGCTTAAAGTGTTCAATATATAAGAAAAAAGAATCTTTAAGAATTAATTATTATGCAAGAAAATTATGGCATTTTAACTAGTTTTCATAATGCAAAAGTTAGCTATTGTAAAATTAATTGAGAATGCAAGCAATTTAGTATTTTTTATTTAAAGTTCTTAATTTTATTGAAGTGTATTGAGATGCAGTCAAGTGTTATACAAGAAATCACTATAATTATATATAAGGTGGCTTGCAAAAAACTATTCTACAAGTACTTGATTTAGTATAATTAGAAAGTATGCACAAAAATCGTAAAAATATATACAATTATATTGTGAGAAATTAACAGGAAAGTTGGTTACATATGCATATAAAAAATTTAAATCACATAAGCGAATTTTATAAGATAATTTGACTGCATTTATAAAAGAAAAAAGTTGTGATAAAAGATAATAAAATATTCTTAATTTGTAGTATATATACATTAACAAATCATACATTAAATTTATTAATAAATCATATATTAAATTTAATCATAAATTTATCAATAAATTATGCATTAAACTAAATCAATTAAATTTATTACTGTATTATTTTATTGCTATTCGCTTAACATATAATATAATTTATATTGATTACATGATATAATCAATATTGATCATGTGATTTATCAAAATTTTTGAAATGGAACAAATCATGCAATTTCAGTTTTTAAGTGTTATGCACTATAGTAATAAATTAATTCAAATTTATGATTTATATTTTATTATAATAATCTGTTTTTTAATTCTTTTATATTTATTTAAAAATAAAATAGATCATAAAGATTATTTATTATATTTATTTTATTTATTATTAAAAATATTAAAGTAAAAAATATTATAAGTTTTCAAATTAATAAGATTTGTTTTATTCTAAAAAAATAAAAATAAATAAATATAATTAAATAAATAAATAATAAAGATTAATTTATAATTAAATATTTAATTCAATAAATAATTTTAATATATTTACTAAATAATATTTCTTTACTTTTAGATTAGATTTAACATTGAACTTTTATTTTTACTTTTACTTTTTTTATCTTTATTTTCCTATACTATTATAATTTTTAAAATAATTATTTAATAAAATGGACAATTATGTGATCAAACTAAATAATTACATTTAAATAAGCAATTTTAAAAATTGTAAAATAGCATATATAAGGATAATTAAAACAGTATCTTTAAAATAAAAAAAAAACCCATTATTTTTTATAAACAAATCTTAAAAATGAATTTTTTTTATAAACCAGTAAATCTTAAAATATTCATGTTACAATAGGTAAAAAAAACACATAATAATATAATATATATTTCCACTCTGTACAATTGAAATTCCGACTTTAGTGATTGTCTTTTGTTAAATTTTTTATAATTTATTTCTTCGTTTTCTTTCGTTAAAAGGAATTTGGAACCCACTCAATAACGATCTTGCTTCATAATCAGTGTAAGCAGTAGTATTAAAAATAACATCAAACCCCGTCATCAAAGGAAAAGAATCGTAGTTTCCTTCAATATCTGGAAATAAAGATAATGCACTTGCAGGAAATCCCATAGCAATGTTTCCATCCCCATCACCAGAAGACATCGGCACACCATGCCATTCCTTCATACGTGGGAGAACAATCTCAACTAATTTGTCAATAAAGGTGTACATTGGAGGGCCCTTAATACATACTTTACATCCGATCGGCATCCCTAAAAAAAAGAAAAGGTAAAAAATTAAAATAAAATTTTGAAAAAAAAAAAAATTATTTTACGCGTTTAATAACTTTTTTTACCCGCTCTCAATTTCCAATTAGCAACACCGGTTTTAGAATATGTGACGGTAGGCCTTTCTGAAGTAATGCATTGTAAAGCCATGATACCACTTAATAAATGTTGTTTATTATGAATCGCTTGTTTAATCATACAATGAACATAAATTTCTTTTAAATAAGGAACTGATTCATGCGTTTGAGGCGGTGGTATGGGTTTGGATTTTTTATCACCCCTTGGTTTTAATGGTGGACGATTTTTCAAAAACGGATTATCAGTATCTCGTGTAACTTTTGTTAAAGGTAGGTATTTTTTAAGTCTTTTTTCAATAAATGTTTTCTCTGATTTTGGATCTTTATACGTGAGTATCATTAAATCATCATATAATATTGTGTTATAATATTCTTCCATTCTAACCATTGAACTTTTTCCTGGATAAAATTCCGAATCATCTGGCAGATTCGCTGATGGTTTGAATTTTCCAAACGTTTGAAGATATCTCGAAGTCAACACTCTAGTTGTATTGACGAGAGGTATTTTAAGTAAATCTATTTTCGTTGATAATAACATAAAAGAATATGGTTATGGTACAGTCTTGAAAGGTAATTGAATTTGGCAAGGTTATAATATAAAGGTTACAGTATATGTAGAAATTTAAATTTGAAAAAAAAAAAATGTGAAAAAAAGTTGAAAAAAAATTTCACGCGGATGGTCACATGATATCGGTTACACAATGTTTAAAGGATCGCTGACCGACGTGAATTTCGAACATGTTGATTTACCTGAATAATGTCTTTGATTGATAAATAACCTAATCTTCTCTAACTCTAACATTATTCGATTTTTTTTCCGTTTTATTGTTTTTTTGCGATTTTTTTTATATATAATCTTTTTCTTTACGAAAAAAATAATTCGAAATTTTCAGAAGATAGTCGATCACTTTTTTTCAATCCACGTGATCATAGTAAAATATTTGTTGGTGAAATTTCCATTTGTCACATAATTAATTATTCATCACATGGTTAATTTCTTAATTCCATAATGTCGGCCAAAAGTCACGTGGAAGTGGTAAATCAGATCGATGCGTCACGTGGTAAATATATAACTTTTATATTTTATAGAGAAAGGTTTTGTTACAACAGAATTCATTGACAAGATTTTGTTATAAAGTATGTTTATTCTTTATTCTTTTATCAAATCCTCAAAAATCATGATTTGCAAAAAAAAAAAAAAAAATCTATTATGTTATAAATGGGAAGTCCTTATTAGCAGTAAATTTTCCAATGATAGCCAGAATGTGATGATGATGACGGATAAAAATACAAATCATGCATTTCTTTTACTAAGTATTGCACTCCACCATCAATACACGTTCTCTTTGAGGGCAATCGACATGATAAATGACGCGTTATGCATGTCTCTTTCAAACTATCGCTAATGTTGTAATTCTTCTATCGATGTGCGAAAATTAGTTTCTATCGGAACACCTAAATTTCCAATATGTTTCCAAAAGAATATTTTCAAAAACCATTATAATTAAAGTTCTTTTACCATTCTTTACGGGATCAAAATAGAAATACAGCTATTCAATGGTTCGGTTGTGCGTGTTATCGTACTTTATTAAATTAAATAATAACAAGCTTCCATTGTTTCAAATCTAGAGTTCTAAGACCGGTTTTAAAGATCAGTCTAAAAATCGATCTACCGAGATCGGAATGGATCGGATCATTAACTACCCTAGTTACACGAAGGTTACATAAACTTTCCTTTTTTTTTTTTTTTAGAAAATCAAATCTTGCCTCTCTTTCTTGTCTACTTCTCTATTTTCTTAATCTTCAATAATGAAAGCATTATCCGCAGGTGCTGTGATATCTGCTGCTATGTTATATCGTTTTCAACATGATATTGAACAAAATACGAATCAAATTCGTGGAAAACTTCATAATACTCAACTTAAGCTCGACTCTTCTTTGCCTGGAAACTTGAGAGACCAGGTAAATTACATGAAATCATTGACTAAACTTCTTAACAATTACTTTATTTATTTATTTTATAATATTTTTTTTTTATTATATATATTTTTTTTTAAAAAAAAATCAAAAAGAAGTTTTATCTGGTTTTAATCAATTTATCTTTTTTAATTTTTTTTTTTTTCTTTTAGACACTACCTGCATCAATTCCTTCGAAATCAACAAACACCAGACCACAATTGCCTTTACCATCAATTGCTCAAACCGAACATTATATTCACCAACGGTTCATTCCTACTTTCAAATCTACTTGGAATGAACATATTATAAGTATTGCTCAAAAATTAACTAATTTTGATTTCGATGGGGCTGTTAAATCTGGTTATGGAAATGCAAAATCTTTTGCTGAAGATAAATTAGTTAAAAAGAAATAACGGTAGGAAAGAAAAAAAAGAAAAAAAAAATTAGAGTATTTCAACGTAATCTCAAAAAAAAAAAAAAAAATCATTTTGGTTAATTAGCATATAAAGGAAAGGCATTGTATATTTTTTTTTTTTAAAAAAAAAAAACAAAACAAAACAAATCGTTTTTTAATATACCTTTCTCCAAAAAAAACTAGCATCAAAATTTGATCATGATAGTTTTCATTGAATAAGCATGGAATCAACTTGACGAACGAATTAATTTAGATCTTTCTAAACATATCAAAGAGTTTTTCTACAAATGAATAACTACTAGTCTCGATTAAACAAAAAATTTTTTTATCATTTACAAACATAACGTGTACAAGACTCATCAGAGAAGAGAGAGATTGAGAAGTTGCAAACAGGTTTTTCAAATTATTTGTAACTGACAGATAAAAGATCGTCAAACTTGTTACGTCAGAAACCTTTGTTCGCGCACATGATTCCGAGATAAAGCCTTAGAAACCGTAGGCCTACATTATATTTGGGAAAGGGGTTAGATTCAAAAAAGGAATTCTTATTAGCCTTTTCGCGGATTTCGGGTAACGGAAAAAAGTCGGATGATAGATGAAAGTACGAAACAAAAATCTTAATTTCTTTTTATCACAAATATTTGATGTTTATTTAACACATGAAGAAATGAAAGAAGACTTTGAAAACTTTCACGCTAAATACTTTCACAAACACAAACCCAAGGGAAACTTTCCCTTTTACAATTACTTGTTTTAAGAAAACATCATTCGATGACTAACATTATTTACATTCTATAATATTAAGAAATAAATAAATAAATAGTCTGACAAATTGTTTACGAATGAAAGATGCCTTTTTAGCGCCATGTTGCATGTTTGGTCCCTTTTTTCCCGTGCTAAAAAAAGAATAAATTTGTTTTTTTTACCAGGTTTTAACTGATTTTTCAGGATTATTCCACACTAAAAACCTTATTAATAATCGATTATATAATTAAAAACACAGTCACAAGCAAAAAAAAAAATTTGATTTAACCTACAAAAAACGCACAAACCCAAACACACAATCCGATTTGATTATTAATGTTATTTACATTTGGATTGGATTATTTAATCTTGCTTGTATATCGATATGTAAGTAAAAAATTGTCCGGAAGGACTTTTTCTATTCGAGAAAGGAATGATTGAAAAGGGTCTATTTAATATGTTGTTCGACTGCATAACATTAAAAAATTTGTGAGAGGATAATCCCTGCGATAGTTAGTGATCAGTTTTTTTGATTACGTAAAAGTAGATACAAATCGTGCGGAGGATTTACCATTACTAAAGATGACATCAAAAGGATTGATTAAATTACTTTCCATACAAAAAAATTGATGCATAAATTTTTAATTGATCTTTATTTTTATTTTTTATTTTAACACGTTTAATACTTGTATATTAACGCAATCCTAAACTGACATATTTTGAGATTAAATTTTTTTAAGTTTAAACTTGTGAAAATCATAGGCCAACCAATGGTATATCAATTGACTAAAATAGAGATTGTATTCAACATATATCACCCCCTTGTTCACTTTTTTTTTTTTTTTTTTTTTTTTTTTTATATCCCCCCTTTTTTTAAAAAATTTTTGTAATAAATTACGCTATGGTAATTTTTATTTATTTATTTATTTATTTTTTTGTGCAGATAAGATCATCTTTTACCATCTTTTATGAATCTCATTTAATTGGTAGTATCAAGGAACGCCAACGCAAAGCCAACCACCTACCAGAGAACCAAAGTTACCTCCAAAAGATGATTCTCAACCATGTCTCCGCGAAGCATGTCAAATTCAAACATGCTTGCAAGAGAATGATTTTCAAGAGGCACGTTGTCAAAACGCAATTGATAAATTACTTCAATGCTGTGAAAAGTTACTAAAGAGTGGGGGCGAATCACCAAGTTGTTCTAGTGTAAAGAATAAAAAATAAAGATAAAAAAGACAATGCAAAATTCTGCATTGTTCATGGGATGTATGTATCCTCCATTTACTGTTTCTTTTTTTTCCTTTTTTTTTGACGTGAGAAAAATCCAATACAAAAGTGGTTAAGAGTTTCATTTCTATTTTTTGTGTTAGGTAATTATTTATTTATTACACAGAATACTGTCCGCAGTGACCGAGTTTTTCAACAACCTTTTTTTTTTTAATTATTTCTGTGAAATGAGATCTCATATGATTTTCAAAGAATACATTTACAAAAAAAGAAAAAAACATTCTGGGGATCCATCGTGAATTCTAATTTTCTTAGTGAAAAATATATATATTATTACCCGTTATGTTTAGTTTAAAAATATATTTTATAATAAACAAAAATGGGGATTGATTGTAAATTTCCGATCAATTAAGTTTCACTCCATCGTGACTTTCAATGCTTTAACACTTCTACTAACTTGAATTAGACGGTGTATGTTTACTTACAAGGGTCAGTATCTGTTATTTTCCATAGAAAGCTCCTTTGAAAACAAGGTGCACTTGCTGAGGGTAGGACAATTGTTTGGCGTGGGCATATTTAGGCTTATCCGCTTTCTTAAAATTTTTTTTTCGCCATTTTTCACAGATTGCATGCATACAAATTGTTACATGTATTATTCAAAAGACATGGTGCTTGATCATGGCGTGATGTATTGGGTTGTACCTGACCACTCGAGTATTCCCTTTTTGGCGAGAATCAAGACTCCACAATTTGTAAATTTTTTTTTTTTTTTATTTCTTACTTTTAATTTTTTTTTTTTTTTTAAAAAAGAATTTTCTTTTATCTCAACTAAATGAGTCCTGAGCTTACGCATATTTTGATAAATTCCCACCTCTCCCAACAAAAGTTAAGGTTGAGCAAATTTTTTTTCATTGGCACAATTTTGATAATACCTCCGTAATTTTTTACTCTTTGTTTTAGAGTTCAAGTTAGAGTTCATTGAACAAATGCGAGCTCATGCAAAAATTATAATTGTAACTTGTTGTCATGATAAAAAAGAGGTTATAATAACAAATTATAAATCAAATTAGAGTTTTGTCGTGAAATTTTTTTTTTTTTAAAAAAGAGTAAATTTAGTCTTCACCCGGATATAAATAAATATCGAATCCCTATTGTTTTATTATTTGTTTAGATTGAATATGATAAGGCAAGCGTACTGTGTCACTTAATACATAACAATACAAATAGATCTGATATTCAATAAAAATAAAATATAATCGGAATTCAAATAGATCTACAATCGCCACCACCTTTAATCATTTTTTTATGTGGGATGACTTCCACCGCATTTATTTGTTGTACTTTAAAAAAAAAATTTTATTTTCATTTTTTTTTTACTTTTCATTTTTGTTTATTTATTTGGGATTTTGATACTTTCGGATATTTTTAATCTCTTTTTTCCCCAATTTTTCGCCTGATTACCTGAGAATTTTAAACAGAAACGTTCTCAATACGAGATGATGAAACATCTGATTCTTTATATGGTGGTGAACAAGCGATATTAAATGTCTTTGTTCTCAGCGTTTTCCGCTTCTGATCAAAAGGAAATTAGAATTGAATGGTACATTTATAATCCTCCCTTGTCTTAAATGACAAACAATGGTTTTCATTGTCTTACTCAAAGAAAATTTTATATGATTCAATAGATCTAAATTTCTTTTTTTGATTCCTCAATACTCTGGTTGACAAGGAATGGTAAGGTTGATTATATGCCATTAATTTATCTAATGACATCATTTTTACGGGTCCCTTCAAAGGAAGTTCCTTTTTAACTAAACCCGACTCAAAAGGGTACGTGCGTATGAAATGCGTGAACGAAAAAAAAAAAAAAAAAAAAACTTTTTTTTTTTTTTTTTTTTTTTTTTTTTTTTTTTTTTTTTTTGAATGAAAATAATTTGTATAAATGCTAAATAAGTACCTATCACTAAAAACACCACTCGGATAGATCATTGTATTGCTTTCTTTAATAGGGAACCTACTCAACAAGACTAACCCACCATCAATTGCTATTTTGAATTCAACCTTACAAGGCAAGGTCAAAGAATATTTGAACCCTGCCTTATCAGCAGCTTCCAATAGTCGAGTACGACGACTGCTTCCAAAGCTAAACATTTCTTCTAAGCATATTATATCATAATTAGCTAATACGTTATCGATAAAATACGCGAGTCTATCTTCTTTATAGTCACTGTAATTATTTTTGATAAGTGGAGGTCTCAAAAAAAGATTGCATGATAAAAGTCGCGCTTTAATTTTTGACTGAGCATTAACTTCATTAGATTCGGACATTTTTAAAAAAATCACAAGCTTTTTTTTTATTTTCGTCGTTTCCATTATAATTTTTATATTTATATTTATATGTATATTTACAAATCTAATGGTATTTGTGCTACATGATTTACACTTCAATTCCTCTTTCTTTATCATCAATCTTTACATTTAGTACTCTCTTTCCCAATTTTAATTCAAAAGTCATAATATTTCTATAAATTGGCATGAATATAGGTAAGACCAAGAAATTCAAACCAATAATAAAAGAAATCCAGGTACATAATGTTGCAAATAGGGAAACCCATGGCTTAATGAATACGAAATAAGCAAAGCATCTAACGGTAAAACCGTCAATTAAAATTTGAATTAGGTAATCAAAATAACCTTGACCTGGTTCACGTGGAATATGAGCAGGCGGAAGGATGGGCGCGAATGATGGGGAGAATGAGGAAGTAAAAACTAAATTAAATGCTAAAAATTCTAAATGGGCTAATGCTCTGTTATTAGAGTAAAAGTTGAATTAGCAAAAAAAATTCAAATCGAAATACATTATAAATAAAAAAAGAAACGATTTTTTACCTCCAGGACAAGACTGACCAAGTTAATAATATGTAACCAATTGGTGGAATAATCATCATGGAAATGGAAATACAAAAAGTGAAAACTATCCACATAAAACTAAAAAGGATAAAATTCAAATCCCATAATAACAAATAAATTAACGCAAACCAATTTCTTTTATCTTTTAACGGTTTTAAGAATTTACATATCGTACTTTCATTTACGGTTGGTGCAGGTTGCTGTTGCTTAGTATTTAATGTCACCGCTTGAGGATGTTGCTGATAAGGAGAAATATTTGCTATGGGGTATGATGAAGAAGAATTTGGATTTGAATTCGGAAATGTACGAAAATTCGGATTTGCTATGGGAGAAGGAAGAGCTAGAAAATATGATTCATCATCAAGAATCAATTCTGCCGGAGGAGCTGAAGGAACTGGAGAGTTTGATAATGAATGCGTTGTCGGAGGTGAAGAGAGTCCGTTATTATTATCATTATTAATTAAACGCGTCGAATTGCTACCAGTTATATTATTATTATTATTTCTTCCTTCGGTTTTAAAATATTTAAGACTTTCTTCTTGTTGAATTAGATATGTAGGATCTGCTGATAAATCTTCTATACTTGGGGATGAAGGTAAAAATTGAGGATTTGTTGACTGTTCATAAGTTGGTGGCGGTATTGAATGAAATTGTTCTTGTAAATCATTATTATGGTGTCGAAAAACCGCCACGCCATCATTTCGTGTTGGCATTTCTTTTAGTAACTTATCAAAAAATCAATATTAAAATAAAAATAAAAATTTAAATGTCTGAGCAAAATAATGATCAAAATGATATATGAAAGCAATAACAGAAAAATTATTTTTACCAAGGGATCAAGAAGAAAAAAAAAACCGGAATATTGATCCCTTTTATTTTTAAATTATAGAGATATATATATGAAGATGATAACAACATTTACACATGTATCTATTCTAAATTTCGTTTGAACCATTTATTGGAATATAAACGAACTTTCTTTGGAAAAACATTTTCCTTTTTACATCATTAAAAAAAGAATTGAGAGTCCAGGCTATATTTTATTTATAGATTCAGGTTAGGGAAGAAAGTTCCATAAAATTTTTAAGATTAATTTAAACCGGAAATAGAATTTTAAAAAAAGTCATTTTAACCAAGTCAATTTCTATTAGCGGGAAGAGATTTTTCATTCAGAAAATCGTTTATCATGCTATTTTTAGGTCTAAATTTATATGAGATCATATGCTAAGATGAATCATAAGGTAACACCATTACCATCGAAAGAAAACATTAAAAAAAAAGTTCCTAAAGATTATTTAATTAGTTTAATGTAGTTGATCAATTTTAGATTCGACCGCTTAATATATGATAAGCATCAGTAGTATAGCGGTAGAATACTCGCCTTCCAAGCGAGTGGCCCGGGTTCAACTCCCGGCTGATGCATTTAAAAATGAAAATTTTTTTTTCCTGAATTTTTGGTTCCCGTGTAACCCGTCGATATTTGATTAACCTGTGAACAAAATCGGTAATTTTTTTTTTTTCATAAAATCATGTCAAGGCTATTATTGATCGCAGATGGTAGGATAATATGTAGTAAACTTCCACGTACATCACTCATCAAATTTCAAGCAAGATGTCTTGCTTTTACACTCTCTCAGGATCGAAAAAACATCGCCAAACTCGATGAGTCTACATTTTCCATTATACAAAAAAAGCATTATTCAACGGAAAGTTTTAATAAAGTTTTTAAATATTGCAAGAATATAACGCAACTTGAGAATGCCGTGAATCGACTTTTCTACAAACATCATACGCCACATCCACAAACAATCAGAGAAGCATTCAAAGCTTGTTCAAGGTTAATTATCCAAGAACATAATAAGAGTCCATTAAATAATTTTTCGGTGAATTCATTAAGTAAGGACATGTCAAAGTATTGGATAGATGTTCCATCAAAGACACATACAACGGACGATGTAATAAGAGTTGCAAATGGAATGATTGAAAGGTTGGATCAGAATTGTAAGACAACTTATGTCTACAACTCATATATTTTAGTATGTGGAATTGCAAAGAGAACTGACCTTGCATACGCCGCATATAATGAAATGTTGAAGACTTTTGTCACATTGAACGTTAGCACTTATAAATTATTGATCTTTGCGTGCGCTAATAAATTAGATTTGGATCGGGCTTTTCATACAATAGACTCCTCAATTGACTCAATATTTTTCTCGGTGAGGACAAGAGTTTGGGTGAAAACGTTCATGCATTTAGGAGTCGGCGCTCTTGTTGCTAAATGTATTATATTCGCTCTTGCCACGGTCGTGCAGGATATAAATGGGTTGACTATGGCTGGGATCGGTATGGGTGCTTTTTTGAGTATGAGGTACGCAATGCACGCCATATTCAAAGATGTCGTTGTATCGGAGAATAGTATTTATGATGAAAAGGAACATTCAGATATTGATGATACGAACTTATCCTCCAACTTGAAATTGAGCGAAATGAGACCAAAAGAAATTAAAAGATATATGTACACTTTCTTGATTAGTTGTTTATTAAGAAATGAGAAATTTGATGAAGCCTTAATTGTGTTTCATCAAATGGCTGATAACCATATCCCTTTAGATATAATCTCATATAATGATTTAATTAATTCACTGTGTCGTATGCAAAATCCAACCGTCGCTCTTGAAGCTGTTATCAAATTTCAAGAACATGGCTTTCGTCCTACCGCACAAACATTCCAGCATATTGTTCTTTCTCTCAAAAATCGTAATTGCGATGAAAGAATGAGGAAAACCCTTTATAATTTAATGAGAGATAATAATGTGTTTTTTCCAGACAATTGTATAAATAAATTTTAAGAACCCTGATTAATTATAAATCCCTTTTGGTCAATCATATAATGTAAATGAAGTCTAAAACGAAATAAGCAATTCCCAATTTTAGCAATAAGTTAAATGCATCACGTGACATTTTAAAAATCATAAATAGTGCGGAAAATTTATTTTCAGATATTAACAATGACGGATAACTTACCAGAACCCGACTTATATATCGGTGCATAATTTTTCTATCTGTCGAATAATAATCTTTAATCAATTTTTAATTTCGTAAATGTTTGTTAAATATAAACAGATTACAAAGCTTTCTTAACGAATAGTTTTGACCCAAAAGAATATGCAAATTCCACCATTAATGCGACCTCGGACGGTGACAATGATATTACAATATCACTGGCAAAATTGTCATTTAGTATAGATAATTTGAATAAACAATTACATGACCAGGTCCGTTGTTTTTCATTTAAATCGATCTTTCATCTTTACTTATCATTAATTGACATTTTCTATTTAAACTTTAATAATAGGTTACATCCCATTTTGAGGATTTGATATCACAAGCCTCTGGAATAAGGGAATTAGAAGTTGTGTTGAATACTGTTAAAGATGGAATTCAATCACTCAACTTATCATTAGATAGGTAATCGATGGTTCGATGTAAAGTTTTAATGTAAAAGGTTCAGTATAACAATATTCATCTGATCTTTACATTTACATAGATTGAAAACAAAGATATATACACCTTACGCGCAGATAAAGAATTACTCTGTGCAATTGGAAAGATTACAAGCCGCATCAGAGTTATTACGTCATGTCGAAAGATTCTTTTATCTAGCGAGATGTTTAGAAGGTCAATTAACAGATATTGATAACGAAGGTGAAAAAGGAATTGAATATATTAAAGCTGCTTCGAACCTTGGTGAATTAGGTGTAAATTACAAATCCTTTTTTTTTTTATTTTTTTTTATTTGTCGTTATTTTCAACTAATAAAGGCTTGTTTACAATATTTTTTTATCAAGAGGCTCTTTCGCAAGATGTCGATTTGAATGGGATTGAACTTGTGCAAGCTCAATTACCGGTAATTTTACAGGCCAAAAATAAAATCACCGGAGAAGCTCAACGATTATTAAATGAAGGAATAATTAATCAGGTAAAAATTTTACTCAAAAAAAATGTCTTGAAAATTGAATTTCATTGGGCAACCGGAGTTTTAGCAACATTTGATTAGAATATTATTTTCTAGCCCATTACTCGTCCTTTTTATGACTTCTTGGACAAATTATTACCGATGGGATAGTCGGGTGTTAGATAATTTATACTATATATTTTTTTCTTCAATTATTAGAATGGAACAGATATCTCTATTGGTCTTCAAATATTTCATAACCTTCATGGAATGGGAGAGCGCGTTTCCAAATATGTCGACGATATTTCTGGAAAATTATTGAATCAGATGAAATATACTGTTGACTTCGTGTCATTGCAAAAAGAAGTTAAAGGTATTTTAAAGATCTGTTTATTATCGGCTTAGAATTAAAGTAAATCATGTAATGTTTATTTGTTTTTAGATTCTGGTGTTGTTCCATTAAAAGGAATTCGCCGGTTAGGATCAGAACCAAGTACTGGAACAACGGCGTTATTGGCTACAGCATTGTGGAAACGAATGGAAGTATTGATGGATGATATTTACGAAAACTGTAGTAAGGTTATTTTTGCTCCTTTTTCTCCCGTGACTTTCGTGTCTTTATCTATATATATCATTGTTCCTTCTGAATTGATGTCCAGACTTAATAAAGAAACGATTTTTTTTTTTTTTAGATTTGTACGTTAGAACGCGTGCTTGCTAGTGAAATAGATGTGATGTCTCATAATACGTATTTAGATGAAGTTTCCAAGGTTTAATATTTCTATATTAATTAAGATTTATAGATTGATTTCTTTTCGAATTGACTTTTTGAATTTGTTCCTTTAGATCTTAGATGGAGGGTTGGTACAACATTTTTGGAAAGTTCTTTCTTTAAATTTCGAAAAAGAATTAAAAGAAGCCACCAAGGGTATTTATAATTTATTAATTATCGAATTATGATTTGAATCTGATAGATATTTAATGTTTATTCAAAGGGTCGACTTTTCTACAACAAACACTTGTCAGTGGATATCCAAAGTTACTAAAGTTATTCTATGACTTGTTTGTGAAACTTGAAAAACGTGGTGATTTAAAGTTAGATGGCGACTTTCAAAGGTGAACCATCCCTTCATGTAAAAGGAAGAGTCTTAAATTCTTGAAAAATTAAGTCTAAGTAGAAATTCGCCTAATTTAAATAGTCAAGAAACCATAGTTATGCTTCATAGTATATCGAGTTTCGAAGCAGGTTATTTGGCTCGTTCAGTAACGAGAATGTTCGATCCAATTAACACGGCATTTCCTACTGGATTATCTCGTGCTCCTCCGATTAAAAGTGATGTTACAAATTTCATACGAGTAATTTCTAGGTAAATTTTTTATCCGTCAATACGGAGGTGTAATTTTTCCCTAGTTTTAATTAAGTTTTTTTCTAGTGAATTGGAAATTGCCAAAGTTGATTCAAACTTGCTACGATCTGTAGCGAAGAATGTTGTCAAAGCTTTGAATTTATATTGCGTCAAGTCCGAATCTATGGTATAATTCCTTTGTAAAATCGTTTTATAAACTCCTATGGAAATGACTAAAAGCAGTGATCTTAATATTAGGCCGCAGTTGATCCAACAGCATATCAAATATCTGGAACTGGTCCAACAACCGCTTCACAAAATGTAAATTTTGAACTTGTTACAACTTTATATCAATTACATCAATCCGTTTGGAAGGTGTTAGAAGAGTATCCCGATGGAGTTACTGAAATAATATTTGATGCTGTTGGGGTAAAATTTAATCTTTATAAATAACAATAGATAATATTTTTTTTAAAAAAAGTTATTCAAAAAAAATTTTTTTTTTATTAGCATACAAGGGAAGTTATGCTTGATATAATTGATCCATTGATACAACATATTAAGAAAGAGCTTGAAAATACTTTACTCAAAATTCATCGCGAAGATTTTTCAAGGTTAAAATAATACTGTATTTGTGTATTTATTTGTATTTTACTGTAATTGATGACATTCTCTCTCTTTAATTATATATTTAGACAACAAGTGTCAAAGGGTTTTATGCTTGGACAACAATCTGAAGGACAATGTAGTGCATATATGATTGAACTTTCAAATAAGGTTAAACATATTCAAAGCCAATATTTCTCAAGAATTTCTTGTGGATTGGAAAGTAAAGAATGGTAAATTCTTAAAAAACTGGAATTTTTTAATGTATATATATATTTATTTATTGTTTGGTTGTTTGTTTGTGTTATGTTAATAGGATTAAGGGAATGGGGAAGAGAATACTTAGTTTTTGGTTACTTCATGCTAGTATGGTTCGACCGTTAAGTGAAACGGGAAAATTGAAGTTAATAGGTGATATGTCACAATTGGAATATTCTTTGAATCAATTACTTATTGATAATGGATTGACTTTGGCAGATTTAGAGGAAGAATATAAAGCATTAAAAGCATTTAGGTTAGTTGCAAATTAAATTTATTCGAGTTTTAACCGGACCATTGAACTAATCTTCCTCGATTTTAGACAATTATTATTCTTGGACAATTCTCAATTAACAGCAGCACATCACACAGCATCACTTCCATTATTAATCTTAATCCATCATATCATCGTTCGTTCACCATTGAATACATTACAATTACCGCACAAGATTTATGGATGGACTGAATTAGAATATTCTAGATGGTTAGATGAACATAATGAAGGTGAAGGTATTGAATTAATTAAAGGGTGTTTAAGGACCAGTGCAGAATTAGAAGTAATTCAAGAAGAAGAGCTGATTGAAGAAAAATTGGTTAGAGCCTTATTAAAGGAAAGAGCAGGAATTGAAGTTTAAATGTGATGACGTATGCAATCTATTTAATTGAACAATATTTTATAATAATGAATTTCTCAATTTTATATTTCTCGTTCAGAGAATCATCCAAACTAATTATTACGGCATGAAGTTTTCTTCATCTTTTTTCCGAAGCTATCCTCTATACTAATAAAACTCGTATTTAATTTAAATTCATTCATTTCATAAAAGATATAATTAAAATATACTGGTAAAAGGTGAACTGAGGAACAGTCATCTTGTCATTTCGATTCAATTTCTTCGAGGTACCGATTTTTCATAAATGACAATCACTACGATCAAATGAACTAGATAAATATTTTATTTTTGAAATAATAATAATGAAAATTAGAAGAAATAAAATAAACAACTTTCACAATTTTTTACTTGCTCGAATTTTTTCTATCTGCCATCGTGATTATCTTCAAGAGATTTTTTTCATCTTTTTTAATAAAGGTATTAGGTTATAATTAAATCTTTATCATTTATCTTCGGAAATTTTGCAATGAAATAAATATATAAATGCATTTTATGATTTATTTCATTAACAAAAGGCTTTCTTTGATAATATAAAATAAAAACTTATTATAAAAATACTTTATATGTATATATATTAAAATATTATTTGATATAGATACTATTATGTTATAACTTTTCATGTATCTTCCAAAGGTTCAATAATTACTTCACTCAAAAAATTGATTATTAATAATATTCAAGTTACTAAGTTGATCATAATACATTTTCACAAATCGTTTTCGTTTCTTGTCAAATCTTTGAAATCTTTGATGACATTTATTACAGTAAGTATCGAACTCTATTTCAATATATCGTTTGATATCAAAAGCAAAGCAATATTGAAACAAAAATTTTGAAAGTGCCTGGAGAATTTTTTTTTTAATTTTATTCATTGTCTTCAAAATGCAAAATTTGATGTCAACATTTTCAATCTGGAAAAACAACAACAATAAAATGAACTATTTTTTGCACAAAATCCTCATAACTGAATAAGGATATTTACCTGATTATAAAATATTTAAAATATTATGGCTTTGGCTAAATGTTTGCTGGGATTGTAAATTATTATAATACAAAATTTTCATATTATTTAATAAATTAACATTATATATTAAAATATAATCTATCAAATTTAGGCTTAAAATACAAAATTTAATTAAAAATATGTAATTTAATTATTTAAATATAGCTAAACAAAATAAAATATTACATAAATTAAAATCTTATTCTATTTAATGAAACTATAATAATAATATGTTAAATAGTCTTATTATATATATATATTTAGTTTTATCTTGATATTTTATATCAGATTAAATTTTCTAATACTTAAAACTATGTTCAGAATTAGAAAATTAATACAGTTAATATAGTTTAATACAGTTTAATATAGTTAGTATATATAATAATTAATATAAAATTTAGTATAATACAGTATAAATATATATGTTAATATAAAATAATTAATACTTTATACTATAATTATTAATAATAAGATTATTAAATATAAATTTTCATAAATAAAATTTGCTTAAAAAAATAAATTATTAATATATTATTAAAGCTTATAATAAAAAAACTAATATTATTTTGAATAAATTTAATATAAATAAAAAAAAAAAAAATGATAAATAAATTAAAAATTAATGTATAAATAATAAAATAAATTTTTTATATTATATATTTAAGTGAATATTATAAAATTACATGATAATATATTATTATTATGATTACATTAATAAATAATATCTAAGCAATTTTCAGATAATGATTTAAGAAATTTATTAGAAAATATTTTACTATTAAAAATATTATATTTATTTATTAATATTTTATGAATTTATTTAAAATTAATAGATTTTATTAGAAAAAAATTTGTTTATAACCCAATATAAAATTGATTATTAATAACTTGAAATATTATATTTTTTATTTGTTATTATTTATTTTTTTTTTAAAATAGATTTTGTATTTTTGTTAATATTATTATTGCTTAGTATTTCTTTAAATTAGTAATAAAATTTATTGCAAATAAATTTTTTGGAAGTATTATTTTATTTTTCTAGATTTCTTTAATTTCTTTAAAAATTTAATCAAAAAGTTTCTTTATTTAATATATAATGATATTCAGTTAGATTTAGTTATATAGAAAATTTGCTAAAAAAATTAGACTTTAAAAATTTTAAATAAAATTTTAATCTTTATTGTATTTTAATTTTTAATGTTCATCAGGAATATTTTTAATGCGAAGTATTGCGTAAGATTTACGATTTGTAAACTTATGCAAATATTACGGTGTAAGGTTACATAATATTTATGTTTTTAGCATAATATTTCGCAATATTTACTAATCGTAATATTTGCGAAACTCTACTGGCGTAGTACTTCACAATATTTACTAATCGTAATATTTTCAAAACCCTACTGACGTAGTACTTCGCAATATATACTAATCATAATATTTGCGAAAACCTACGGGCGTAGTACTTCGCA